TCTTTCGATACCTAAAACCAAGACACTAATTGAATCTTCACAAATATATCTTCACCAGAAAAAGTTTTTGGATTTTGTTTTGAAGAACACAAATGCACAGAAAGGTTTATTACTAGAAAACATGTATCTTTGAGAGTTATCTTATAAAATTACTAAAACCAAAGATGGATAAGAAGCAACATTTTCAGAAAAATGAACCTGAGTTTATCACTTGCATTTCCTTCTACTAAACAAAATGAAACCTAAACAGAAGCATTTTACTTACAGACGTGTACATGATTGTAAATAACCTTGCAGTGGGTCTGTGAGTACAGTGTATATCATCAACAGCATGTGTTTGTATTCCTTAGGCCGATTTTCCCTATTTGTTCACGTTACCTGTGATTTAACTCCCTCTGCATCTGAACTTGTCTCAATTTGCTGTTCATAGGAACTTGGGAACAGAGACGTACAGAATTTGGCCACAGGGCTGTAAAATGGCATTAAGGGAATGCTTACCTCTCACCGCATTTTAATTTAGAAGTGGATGGGCTGAGGGTTGTTACATTAGTTTTGCTTAGTTGAACATAAGTGTAATTCATGCACTGATAAATAAGTTCTCTCAGATAACCTATTAAGACTGGTAAATACCAGACATTAATTATTAAGTATATTGTAAATAACTTTCCTTACCAAATCCATGTAGTGTCCGTCTGTATGTGTGCCCTTTGAAACACACACTGCATTTCTGTGTAGGCAACTGTGTATGATGCAGACAATCAGACTTTTTTTTTTGTCCATATTGTGCATTTAGCTCCAAATCTGAAGGCAGAACTGTACACCGCATGTTTGCTGTGTGGCCTAAACAGGGTGGTTGAAACAGGCCAGACCTTTCTTCAGCTGCCTCTGCTGGGCAGCCAGTGTGTTCTGCAGTCTTTAGGATGGCTGGCTGGCTAATATCTCTGGCTTTTTCCTTCCCACTTTTGTGTGGCTCTGTTAAGGAAACCGCAGTCTCTGTGCCTGCTTCTGACAAGCGTCAGGAGCTCTGGAAGATGGAGGTTCTTGTCTCTCTTGCCCTTTTTTAATGCTGAGTACAATCAGTTCTGGGACAAGATCGACTAGAATGCAAACAAGATAAGGAAAAATTACCTTTTTGTCCTTTACTTTTATCTGTTGGAGAGAAGGTCATATGGGTAGTGGGTAATAGAGTTAAATGTAAAGCTTTTTGTAACGTGTATAAATGATGTATTGGCATTTTGACAAATCAACAGACTTCTGTGTGCTCTAATAATACTCCTATGACACTTATGAATCAAGTTACTAATACTTTAAAATGAAATATTCTTTCTCATTTAAAATGAAAAGCCGTATTTCCCTTCATATACAAGAAGTAAAGTAAGTTCCATTGCTGTTTTCAGTTCTCTCATTTTCCATAGTGTTGTATGTTTGCTTTCTTTTTCCATATATTTTTTCCCCTTTTGTTCCATATATACCCAAAAGAAATTACTTGAAGTCCAGCTCTCTATATACAGTAGTACGGATCATTGTTTAATTTTAGACTCCTTATCATCTATATTAAAAAGAGTGAGAGCCTTCACTAGCTTAGTGTGGACAAAGAAATTATTTTTTCCTAATACAAATTTCTTCACAGACCAAACCTTTTGAATGTAACGAGAGAAAAATTTCAACTCCCATAAATTTATTTCTTTGTGGTGTATTGCGTGATTCCTATCATGAAATTTCATTTTTAGTTTCATCTGTAAGCTCATCATACCGAAGACAGGATTTAGAATCAAAACATGACATCTTTGCTTTATTGGTGGCACCTATTTGGACAAAAAACAACAATGAACAGAAATCTGCTGGAAAATTGTGGCTAAACCTAAATTTGAAGTGTTAAAGAGGACTTAATTTTCATAGATGTATTTGCTTCTGATTGTTACGGTAACACAGAATTTGAAAATACACATTCATATGTATGTATGTCAAGTATGTACTTGCTGATATAACGTGCTGATGACTGTGTTACTAAATAATAAAAATGTATATGCTCAATTTTTTAATGTTTCATGATAGTAAAAGGACTGAATTTATTACTACAGGTTTGCATTTTACATATTTGGAGCATAACGTTGTGGCTTACTGTTAATTCGTATGTAAATTTTTCTTACTGTATGGAAATAGATACTGCAGGGAAGGATGCAAGTTTTCTTTTAAAACTATTATTTTTTAGCTGGGCAAAGGGACTGTGGGCAGGATGAATTGAAAGTGTCTGTGGTATAGAGCACAGGAGTAGGACCAGTGAGACCTGACTTCTCTTCCAGTTTCACCATTAGTCTACCAGGTAACATGGAGGAAGTTGCTTCATAATTCTGCACCTCAACTTTCCCACTTTTAGGTTGGAGATAATCATACTGCCCTTATAAGACACTTCACAACTGAACAGTTCTAAGTAAGAAGTTACAATTATTATTTTCTGTTTAAGAGACTTGCTGCTACATAGTATATGCAGTCTAGATGAAGTGATGAAGCTGTTATCTATGCGGTCTATTGCAGACTACAGGATACATTCCATTTAACGTGCACTTTTATTATACATCATACACTCAGCAGTATTTTTTTGTTCTTTCTCTATGGAGAAGTGATAGGGAACATAAGAATACCGGAATGGTCTGTAGAGATAAGTGTGTTGCAATTTATTCTTGTGTTGCTGTCACTGAACACTGGAGCAAATTTACAAGTGGAATTTGCAGGGAGAAAAAGTTGTTCTTGTCCCCATCTGTAAGGAAAACTGGTCCAGTGGTTTGGACTGTATAACATAATTTAAATGTAGTTTCCTGTTCCATTGCAGGTTTCCTGTATTTCCTTAAGCAAGTCACTTTTCTGTGCAGTTCTCCATCTGCAAAATAGGAATAATAGTACTTTCCAAAGTGCAACAGTTGTAAATTTGGGCACAGGAAGCTGGTAGGGCACTCTGATACAGCTTCAGGGCTACAGAAGTATGGTGTATAGATGCATGAGGCTTTGGAAAGGCAAAAGAGACTTCCAGAAATAAGTAAATGAGCTAAGAGTTTAGACCATCTGTGCCTTGGGTTGGAAATATTGGAGAAAAACAAATGGGGAGAGGGAGACTTTTAGACGAAGTGTGCATTTTTTTCTTTTCATTCAAAAATCTCTGACAAACTGTCTTGTGCACAGTCTTCATGGACACTGCCCTAATACATGAAGTTACATTTACAAAATCTATTTCTAGGAAAAAATTCATGCTAAGGTGCGTCACGTGTTTTTTGAGGAAGAATGAAGTATAAATGTTAAACTTACGTTTACTGAAAAAGCATATGGAGAAAAAAAACCTCATTTGGTGGAATCAAATGCTAAGCGTTTCCTCAGAAAATCTTTTTTAAATCATACATTTAACTGGAGAAATACTTTACCAGATAATACTACCTCTGTTTCACAATAGTCAGGATGAACAAATTCTATACTAAGTATCAGTCGAGTGTTATTTGAAAGAGCTGATACACAGTATATTAAATAAGAAAGGTGCTGACACAGCCTTAATTGTAATAGTTCTTCTAATTATTGCACTACGCCATGTTATATTATATCACATGGCATAATTTAGTGTATATTTCCTTGTCAATGTATTACTCATCATTTTACAAATTGCAAACCTTTTATAGGAAGGTAATTCATACTTGGACATAGTGCTAAAATGACGGAGTGATTTCCTTTTTTTCTCAATCATTGCTCCTTCAAACTTTTTCATTTAGCCGTATTAATCATGTTTATTAGCTAAGTTTTGTCATAAAGAATGGAATTTTTCTGTTACTTTCATATTCAATTAGAATGGTTTTTTGCTTGCTGCCTCTGTCTGCTGCATCACAGTAATCTATTTACTTATTCTAACTCAGATTCTTGTTCATAAATTCAAAACGAAGTCAATACTGCAGTTACACATTTTCATAACAATCTATAATCTAATTGAAAACGTAGGGTGTACCTGAGAAGAGAGTGTACTTAAAATACCTTTTTACTCTAGAGATGTTCAATCTAACTTTATAAGTAGGTTTTGGCTTTGGACCAGGTGTATTTACGAATTCACTGACATGGTCTACTTAACTGCTGTTTGAAAAGAACTTCTTGTTGTTCAAGTATGTAACTGTAATACTGAAGAAAGCTATGATCTGTAAAATGCTGCAGAACACCCTCTCTTCAGAAGACCAGATATTCTAGACCAAACACAACTGCTTAGTTTGCTCTACTGTGTTTTTGTTGTAGAAGGTAATTACTGTGCATAATAGATATCTGGACTCTTAAATTTAAAATCCTCTATACTGATGATTTCCAAGCCCAACCTAATGCCTGGCTTGTTTAACCTAGCAAAGTAGAGGGTTTCACTTAGGACATCCCTAGGGTCAAACCTAGCAGTGGAGGAAAAGCTGTTTAAGCTGAAAGATAACACAGCAGCAGGATAAATTGCAATAACCTGTTCAGGGATGAATTTAAGCTAGAATGCTAGTGAGCACTGGAGGGAGTGAATACTGGAGCAACTCTCCAGTAAGATTAACAGTGGTGAAAGACTTGACAAGCCCGAGGATGGACACCTATTAGTCTCTGGTAGGGACTGGGTGGCCTGATGCCCTGTGATAGCAGAAGATTGTGATTCAGTTTCTCAGATGTTCCCTTTGTGCCTTATTTACGTAATTGTTACTGATGTTTACTTGGATGATTTTATCCTTGAACATTTAGCTTTTTCCATTTCCAGAAGCTAGTGTTATGAAGGTAGGTGATGCTGAAAGTTTCTGGTTGTATTTTTTGCCTGATGCATATTTATTAATTTATTAAAAAAAAAAAAAACCCAAAAAAAAACCCCAAAACATTGGGCGTAGGATTCAGGTGCTATGTTTGTCCTAGGTGCTTAGCTATGGTAAAGAGTATTAGCTCATTGCTAACCAAGCAAGATGTCCTTTAAAGAAAAGTATATGCCATTTATGGTTTGTTTGTACCCTGTTTTGCAGGTGGGAGTGAATCCTCCTGGGATAAAGACAAGCTTCAGTCTCCCATTACAACGGGATCACAGCACAGCATTGGTCATCCCACACTGTCAGGGCAGTCAAGCCTCGGAAGCGCGCACCCACTCAGTCCTCTCCAGCAGAATCACCTGCTCACCAACAGTACGTACTGTGCTCTCAAAAAAAAAAGTACATGGAGCTCTGCTTGGAGGCTGGGCTTGCACTCCTTCCCATCCCCCTGGGGATGGGGCAAATGGATGGGAAACACATGGCCGACAGGAGGGTCAGTCCTCCCACTGTCTGCTGCCCAGGTGCATAGTGTCCAAGCCACCCACTGGGATACAGCCGCCCTCTGTATCACCCACTGCTGGTGGGTGTTCCTTAATTGGCATTTCCATTACCTAGACTGAAGGGAAAAATAACCATAAAGTTGCTTAAAATTTTAGCTATATGAGAAAATGCTCTTCGGGTGAAAAAGCTCACCACCAAATAAAAATAGGACAGCCAGAAACACCTGCAAAATGTCTAGTGAAAAGCAAGCAGAAGCGATCCCTCTGCCTTGCTTTGCACTGTACCTGCCAGATGTGGGCAAGGTCATCCATTGAACCCAGCTATCTAAAGCAATTGGAATAAAATGACACAGATGAATTTTGGATTTGGAACTTAAAGTTCCCTTCAATCCCATCTTTTCCTTCCCTTAGGAAGGGGGCAGGTGGGAAGCCAGCAGTTCCCCTTCTCCTTTACACCCAAAGAGGGAAGGGAGGGAAGGGAAAGTTACTCCAAGAAAGATGCTCAAGATTAATATTTTAAAAATTAGTGAGGAAAAAAAGTTAATTCTAACAGTTGATGGTGGATGAAGAATGACAATCTCACTATTACTGAATTCTTGCTATTTGTTTAAGCTCTTCATCCTCAAAGTTTTGAAAGTTGATTTTTGGTGTTGGTTTTAATGGATGAATGACATTTCTGGCAATTTTAGGAGCAGATCGTTCCTTGCTACCTATGTAGGGCCCCAGACTTGAACAAATCAAAGCTATTGAAATGATTCCTACAATATGGGTCTGTTTTGTTAATTGGAAGGTACGGACCTGAGCATTTTGGGTTAAGTGTCGGTAGGTAAAAATGACCAGATCATAGGACTCAAATTCACTGTAGTTTATCCTTTCATTTTATATTTTTGCATAATTCACAGAATTATAATATACATAAAACATATAATTATATATCATATATAATTCAATATCTGTATGTATTTTACATACAGGCATAGTGTGTTCTTTGCTGTTAAAGAAAACTTTAAAGATATTTTCCAGTAGATTTTGAAGTAGGCGAATGTCTATAGGCTATTAAAGGGTTTATTGAATGTCAGACATTATGTCCAGTGATTTGCAAGTGTACGATATATTTTCTTCATAGTCCTCTGAAATGTTTGACGGATTGTGTCTTAAAACTGGTGATGTGCTGTTAAATTCTGTTTGTAGTTTGCATTTAGTTTGCATGTCAATTGGACTTTAAGTAGACATACAACTCAATGTGGCCAGATGGTGTCTGGGAGTTTTGGAACTCTATAGAGTATGAGGAAAGATTATTGGGCTGTTAAGGGAGATATGCAGGAGAACAAAGGCTTATGGATGTAAGCACTGAAGGGGATTGTCAGTATGGTTTACAGTGAAGGGAGATGTATTTGTGCTTTGCTTATTACCGATCATAATTAGTATTGACGTGAATCATCATATAAAGTATATAGTGAATCATAAGACATCACAGTTGTTAATCGTGATATACTCAAGCTAAACAGAAATAATGTGGGAGCTCAGAATATATACAATTCTGCTTTTTGTGGTGGGTGCAGTGGTCTTTTTATAACGGTATAGTCAAATTGTATTGGAACAACATAAGCTATAACAGTCCGTGATATTTTTTTATTGTGGGTTCTGTCATACACCAAAATGGTGACTGGCCTTCTCATTTAAAATAGTTAAGATAGAGCCAAAAGTTAAAAAACTTTTAGAAATAATTAATGTGAATAGCATATGGTTATGACTAGCTATGTGATTGTTATTTAGTACTTGTACCTGATTTTTTAAATGAGAATTTCTAATCTAGATTTCATTTAGAAAAATGGTAATACATTTTGTCTGGTAGAATGAGTCCTATTTTTTCGGGGGTGGGGGGGGTGGGGTGGGGTGGGGGGTGGTGGGGAGTTTTGGATGCCAAACGTAGTTATCTTCAAGTGGTCTCTCTATAGAATTCTTAAGTGCCAAATAACCTGAAACAGTTTTTTCAGTGAATTGGTGTCTTGGTCTCGCTTTCCGTTGTTGTCATTACTAAATACAACAAGTAATACATATGCTGAAATAGATACTACTGAAACACGAGAAGCCAGTTTTTGTAGCAGTAACATCACCTTTTGGCAACGTCAGGATCTGCAAGTTGGTCCAAATGAATTTTATACCTTCTTAAATTGTTTTACATCCATAGCAGAAGACAATTTAAAGTGACTTCTTGGAAATTAAAACCTCTGGCCACAATTTTAACCTCTCATTACATGTTCCAGTTCACAGACCTTCTGTACAGTAGTCCAGTAGTGTCTATAGTCCAACCCACAGCTTCCTGTGTTCAAGAAATAGTCCTAATATATATAAATCTAGTCTCAGATTGCTGTGTGTGTGAACTTATAATAGTAAGAGGACTTGATAGGAGTATATTGTCAGATAAAATTAAAAATAAATATTCATCTGATGTATTGGAAAAACATGCAGATATCTGCATGTTTTGTGGTTTTTTTCTTTATTGCTTTTTATAAAGAGATCACTGAACTTAATGCACTGTTGTATATTAATATTGCTAATATTGTGTTGCTTTACAGCTATATGTTCCTTTCCCTAACACAAACTATACAGTCTTTTCTGAAATATGAAAACAATTATTCCCTATGTAACATCAAAATTATTAACACATAATAATATTGAGTTTGACAATGTTCCGGTACAATATAGACTCTAAAAATTAAGGTGTTGGGTTATAAAATGAGGGACTGACACATATAACCTGCCCATGCTCTCTTTTAGGGATAGACCTGCCGTTTATGATGATGCCCCACCCTCTGCTTCCCGTCAGCCTACCTCCCGCTTCGGTTGCAATGGCAATGAACCAGATGAACCACCTCAATACAATAGCTAACATGGCTGCAGCAGCCCAAATGCACAGTCCTCTTTCCAGGGCAGGGGCCTCTGTTATAAAGGTAAGAGTCATCTGTGAGACTTAGAAACAATAGCTTTTTGTGGCTAACAAAAACATTTGTAGTGAGTTTCTTAAGGCAGATAACTGAGAGGCAATGAGCTTATACTGCTGATAGCACACCTGGTCTGCTGTTCCTGATAGTGCTTCAGTCTGAGGAAATACCCGTGAGTACAGTCAAGAAGTTAAGATGCTCTGCTCTATGATCTGTAATGTAATTAAAAACAGATACTAACGCTCGCTGGAGGCTAGGGGAATAAGCAGTGCTGCATCTGGTAAAGCTCAAAAGCTATTCTGAACTGGTTGTTCAAAATCAAACTTAATGTTATACTTAAAAGAAAATGCTATAGATCGTAACAGAAACTCTGGTGCGGTGCAGTTCTAGAACAGGTTAATAGCAGAGAAAATCATCACAAGTACCTCAGTGAGTATAGTCTCTGGTAGCAACACCTAAATTTCCTCTGGCTGCATAAAAACTATTTCTGCTTTTGAAAGGTTTCTGATAGTCTCTTCCAGGTAGGTTGTTAAGAAAACTTCATGCCTGTGTCATGCTTGTGTCCTGCCACACACACACAAATATGTTGAGACAAGAAATTTTCAAAGTAGAAGGATATAGGATCAGTGCATGTGAAGGATCGGTTCTATGGGATTCTTTAAAACACAGTGTGTCCTCTTTTTATTGAGCAAAAATGAAAGGTTTTAGCAGTCTAACTTTTGTGTTTATTTGCATGCACATGCATGTTTCTTGTTGACAAAACAAAATTTTGTCACCTTTTAAAGGTAGTTATTTTAATCCATTTTTCTTTGTTTTTAAATATATGACTCTATAGAACTATCTGTTCCGGAAAATACATGTCTTTTTATTTTGATATTTATGCTCATTTGCACTCATGTATCCCCATCATTCTGGAATCCCAAAGTTCCGAGTTGCTTTATTCTACTAACTTTCACTGATTTGGTGAACTTAATCTCTTGTGTCTTTATTGTAAAACATCTTAATTATGAAATATTGTTATTTTATCATTGAGAAAGTTACTGTTGCCAATATTGCAGGCCAGTTGTGAGAATAAATTAGTTAGGATTTTGTTGTGCTTTCTATTGTCACAGTATGCCACTGCAGGAAATTTTGTTTCTACATCAAGCAGGGAAGAAATCTTGTAGTACACAACCACATGTTTATTTTTCGTACTTGTATTTACTGATATCAACATACTTTCAAGGAAGAACACAAATCTCTTTTATCACATTACAGTAGCATAAAATAGTACGTGTCTCTGTTGCTGAGGTTCTGAAAGTCTTTGCTTTTTTTCTGATCTTCTTCCTGGCCCTGAGCATCTCCAAAATTGCCTCAGGTTGTTTTTCTTCTTTACTGAGAGTCCACTTCCAAATAAGGGCAAATGTTGTTCTTAATACTTTGATTTTGTTTACATTTTGTTTTCTTGGATTTTGGGAGGTGGGTAAAATTCGGGAGGGCATTCCCTGGTTAGAGAGTATTTAGGATTAAGATCTAGAAAACTTTCTCCTTGTCATCAGTGTATCTGCAACAGTTGTTGACTGGGTGGGGGCAGCATGATATCTCTGACGTCCAACTGTCCACTAGTTAATGCAAGTCACTGAACTGTTAGAAATTAATTGAGGTTTCACTCAGTAACCTTTTCTTTAACTGTTCAGAGACCTCTTGAGAAAACCATAACTTAAATACAGCAGTGGAATATTTGTAGCAGCAAGTAGACTTCATAAGCTTTGATTATATTTTAAATGCTATCAGTATGACAAAATGAAGATTAAATATGTATTTGTAAACAATGCAAATTATTTGTAATATAAACTACAGTTTTTGCAAGCAGTTAGGTTTAAGGATGCTCTTTAGCAGGCCCTTGCTGATGCTAGTTACTCATTTACAGCTATTTTTTCCCCAACACCTGCACTGGAGGATACACAGTATCTCCACAGCAACAGTAGGTCTCACCAGCGCTCTAGTGGGAATTATTTCCTCTACATGATGGAGAAGAAAATAGACCAGTAGCTAATGTGACAGAGGTAAAGCGTGCATCCATTGGTGTGTTACTCTCACTTGTTAGGTGATGCTGCGTCTTTCTCTCATTTGTTCTGAATGCTGACTGTAGATGACATCTAGAAGTAAATTATGGTGACAATAGGGTTGTTTATGGGTAAGAATCAGGGGGATCGCCAATAAGGCAGATATCACAGTGTGAGTCTGTTACACATCGCACAACCAGGATGAAGAGGCAGATGGAATATTCTATAAACAGCTGGGAGAAGTCTCAAGATTGCTTGACCTTGTCGTCGTGGGGGACTTCAACTTACCAGGTGTCTTCTGGGAATACAATACAGTAGAGAGGGAACAGTCTATGAGGTTCCTTGAGTGTGGTGAGGATAACTTCTTGATACAGCTGGTGAGGGAGCCAATTAGGGAAGGTGCATGCTGGACTTGTTGTTAGTAAATAAAGAAGGACTTGTGGGGGGTGTGACAGTTGGAGGCCATTTTGGGCATAGTGATCATGCAATGATAGAGTTTTTGTTTCTTGGAGAAGCAAGGAGGGGGGTGAGCAGAACTGCCACCTTGGACTTCCAGAGCACAGACTTTGGTCTTTTCATGAGCCTGGTTGATAGAGTCCCTTGGGAAGCAGTCCTGAAGGGCGAGGGTGTCCAGGAAGGATGGACGTTTTTCAGGAAGGAAGTCTTAAAGGCACGGGAGCAGGCCATCCCCATGTGCCAAAAAACGAGCCGTTGGGGAAAAAGACTGGCCTGAGTTGCTATGGTTGCAACTCGGGGAAAAAAGGAGAATTTATGGCCTTTGGAAGAAGGGGAAGGCCACTCATGAGGACTACAAAGATGTGAGGCTATGTAGGGAGAAAATTAGAAGCGCCAAGCACAATTAGAACTTAACCTGGTTTCTGATGTTAAGGACAATAAAAAAAGTTTCTATAAATGCTTTAGCAGTCAAAGGAGGATGAAGGATAATCTCCAGCCTTTAGTAGATGGGGGCAGAAACACAGTGACAAAGGAGGAGGAAAAAGCTGAGATACTTAATGCCTTCTTTGCCTCAGTCTTTAGCAGTAGGACCAGTTGTTCCCTGAGTACCCAGCCCCCTGATACAGGGGTGGGGAGCAGAATGAAGCCCCCATAATCCAAGGGGAAATGGTGAGGGACCTGCTACAGCACTTAGACATACACAAGTCTGTGGGGCTGGATGGGATCCACCTGAGACTACTGAGGGAGCTGGTGGAAGTGCTCACCAAGCCACTTTCCATCAGCAGTCCTGGAGAGCTGGGGATGTTAGCTAATGTGACGTCCATCCGCAAGAAGGGCCAGAAGGGGGATCTGCGGAACTACAGGCCTGTCAGTTTGACCTCAGTGCCTGGGAAGGTTATGGAGCAGATCATCCTGACTGCCATTATGTGGCCCGTGCAGGACAACCAGGTGATAAGGCCCAGTCAGCATGGGTTCATGAAAGGCAGGTCATGCTTGACAAACCTGATCTCCTTCTATGACAAGGTGACCTGCTTAGTGGATGAGGGAAGGGCTGTGGATGTTGTTTACCTGGGCTTTAGTAAAGCCTTCAACACTGTTTCCCACAGCATTCTCCTGGAGAAACTCACTGCTCATGGCTTGGATGGGTAAAAAACTGGCTGGAAGGCTGGGCCAAAAGAGTGGTGGTGAATGGAGTTAAACCCAGCTGGCAGCCAGTCGCAAGTGGTGTTCCCCAGGGCTCGGTATTTGGGCTGGTTGTCTTTAATATCTTTATGAATGACCTGGATGAGGGGATTGAGTGCACCCTCAGTAAGTTTGCAGATGACACCAAGTTGGGTGGGAGTGTCGATCTGCTTGAGGGTAGGAAGGTTCCACAGAGGGATCTGGCCAGGCTGGATCAATGGGCCGAGGCCAATGGTATGAGGTTCAACAATGGTATGAGGTTCAACCTGGAGCCATAAGTCTTCTGAGGAGCGGCTCAGGGAACTGGGGTTGTTTAATCTGGAGAAAAGGAGGCTGAGGGGAGACCTTATCCCTTTCTACAACTGCCTGAAAGGAGGTTGTAGCGAGGTGGGAGTCAGTCTCTTCTCCCAAGTAACAAGCAACAGGACAAGAGGAGATGGCCTCAAGTTGCACCAGGGGAGGTTTAGATTGGATATTAGGAAAAAATTCATCACTGAAGGGGTTATCAAGCATTGGAACAGGCTGCCCAGGGACATGGTAGAGTCACCATCCCTGAAAGTATTTAAAGGACATATAGACGTGGTGGTTTTGGCAGTGTTAGGTTGGTGGTTGGACTTGATGATCTTAAAGGTCCCTTCCAACCTAGACAATTCTGTGATTCTATGAGTTTTATTACAGAGAGTGTGAGACTCCTTTTGTGCTTTCCTTCCCTGATGTACGATAATCTAGCTCTGAATGACGATCAATTAAGATTGAATCCTTGTACAAAATGAAACGTGTAAAAGAAAAGCATTGCTGCTGTTATTTGTGAGCGGTGTTACTTTTATTATATGGCATTATTTAAGTGCATTTAATAAGTACAAAAAATGGCTAGATAGGCTGCAATTCCAGCATCATGACATTACTTAAAATGGGAGAAATGTATTGAATATATTGAATGTGTATCTATTTCCATACTCTGATGACTAAAATACTCCTTGGCCTGTTTTCTATAGGTGTGAGAATCAGCTGCTTTATAAAGGTTTTGAATGAAGTCATTATGCTTTTTATATCACGTTTGCCATTTAGAAATAAGCTGTTCTAGTAAGATATGCATGATCAGCAAAGTTAACATTTAGTGCTCCAGAAAGAAATGTCATAACTATGAAACTTGATTTCTTCCTGACAGGAACACTATAAATTAGGCAGGCACAATGGCCAGGCTCGCAAAACCTTCTTAGCCATCCATAATATAATCTGATGTGATTATAGCAGCACCCACTAGCAGTGCTATAGCTACGGTTCTGACAGTATCCCTGTAATAAATCCAGTCTTTCAGGGATTTAC